TCCCCGCGCCACCGCCGGGGCAGATCCATGCGTCCTCCCCGCCGCCGCCTCTGTTGTGCTGCCGGCGGCAGCCTCCTCCCCTCAGACAGATGGGAGAGGAGGGGATGGGAGAGCAGGGGCGGCGCGGGGAGCCACCGGTCGTCGCCGCCAGAGCCGCCGCCGCTGGTCGTCGCCACCAGAGCCGCCGCCTCCGTCACAGGTGGAGAGGCCGGGAGGGAGGAGAGGGAGGAGAGAGAAGAGGAGTGGATAAGAAGAGGAGGGGATGTGTGGTGTTTTAATGTGGAGAAGAGGATGAGGATGGGTAGGTGGGTGTTTTAATGTGACAGAGATTTTTGGTTGGATTTTCACTGGCGGTTCTGTTTATTGGCCGCCATAAAAAATTGGACTGCCAGCGAAAATTATCTATTTTCACTGGCGGCGCACCTAATTGACCGCCAGCAAAAATAGACATATTTTCGCTGGCAGCCGCATTAGATGGGCCGCCAGTGAAAATAAATTTTCACTGGCGGTCGGTGCCCCTCACCCCCTCGTTATAAGTTTGCTGGCGGTTTTCACATTTTTCTCCAGCGAAAATAATAGACCAACACCATGAAAAATCATTTTTCTAGTAGTGCCTGGTCTTCTAGCAAAAGGTGATTCTCTAAATAGTTTAGTTTGTATGAGATCTGTATGTAACAGATCGAATGTTCTAAAGTCCAAAATACATGACAAGAATGTATGGGACATTTTTCATCAAAGAAAAAGAATGAATGGGACATCACAACATTCCATGATCATTATTAGATCTTGTAAACATAAAACCCTTATCTCTACATGCCATAAGAGTTGTAGTGTTTCCGCCCCATTTTTTGTCGTATTACATTTCCGTCTTCCGTCTCATATGGTCATGGACGAAAAAATGGCAGACACACTATGGATTTTTACCATTTAAATGAGATCTGGTTTTCCAATGCAAAATATCACTAGTAGATGAAATGATCTTTAGTACCGGTTCTAAACCCCTATATATTAATCCCGGTTGTAGCAACCAAGATAAAGAAACCGAGACTAAAGTTCTTGATCTTTAGTATCGATTGAAATAACTGGTACTAAAAATGTACACCAAGTAAAAAAAATATGTGGGATGTGAGATTTGAACTCAAAATCTCTCTCCTAAGTCCTTGCACGTGTTACTATCCCACCTACTACACACATCTGACTTGGATAGAGATACTTTGGTGTTACCAATCGGGATTAAAGATCCTTCAGCATTAGTCTTGGTTGGTGTTACCAACCGGTTCTAAAAGTGTTTCTAGGGACTTGGACTTTTAGAACCGGTATTAAAGCATCTTTAGTATCGGTTCTTAATCTAGTTGAGAAAGATCAGTTCTCCAGTAGTGTATGTCTAGCCTTCATGTTTAACTGGCTGCCATAGCAATCATTCATCAGTTATCATAGTTTTTGCGCCATGAATTAAATTAATGGAATTGCTAAACCTAATTCGATAGAAAAATATAGACAACATCTTGTAAATTTCTAACCTTCAGCTATGCTTCATCGTGCTCCGATGGACTTCTTCTCCAACTCCGGTATTCTTGATGAACTTCGGCGACTGGTGGAATTGACCCCGACCATTCCTTGGGCTTAGAGGAATTGCCATGGGAGGCACCACCCCATCGATGGGTGGTGAACATGGGCTAGTGGTGATACATCGGAGGTACAGGGATGAAGGAAGGTGATGGGTGAGACGGAAGCAAAGTGGAACTTGTGGTTAGGAAGAAGTGGATGGTGGTGGCTAGGGGTGGGCATTCGGTCTACCCAAAATTTTTGGTTTCGATCTTCGGTCTTTCGGTCATTTCAGTCTTTGAGAAGTTGAGACTGAATTTCATCACAAAAAAGTCAGGACTAACCAATTCGGTCTCGGCCTCGGTCTCGGTCGTAACCGAATTTGGCCAGTTGAGATAAGATTGGCAATGAAATTTTTTGGTAGCACTTACCCTCTTTCTAGACAAAATTTAACAGTTATACATCACGAAAATACAAGATAATAGGCAACATCAAACACCAAACAATATATCACAAGATCGGATCAAGTAGCAAGATTAAATCGCAAGCATCAATGGAGGCGGAGGGGGGCTGGTCGGCTAGAGGCAGAGGTGAGCTGGAGCCTGGAAGCGGAGCCCAGAGGCGGCACACGGGTGCACGGCGGTGGAGACGGAGGCGGGATGGATGGAGGTGCCGAGGCAGAGGGCGGAGGTGGGCTGGAGGCGGCACACAGGCACACCGCGCACGGTGGTGGAGATAGAGGTGGGATGGATGGAGATGCCGAGGTGGAGAGTAGATGCACCTAGGCAGGACCGCGGGATGAAGGCGCCGAGGCAGCACACAGCGCTGGCGCTGGCGCCTGGTGGCACGATGGAGGTAGAGGCAAGAGGCGAAGGCAGCCGAGTGCGATGGGATTGGGGGATGGATGGAGGCGGCGGACCGCTTTGGCGGTTGTGGCTGGGTGCCTCTTCCTCTCTGGGGTTTACTCTATATTAGTGGGCTTATTAGGCCTAATAGGTCTATTGGGCCAAGTTCGGTCATATCGGTTATTTCGGTTAACTGAGACACATTACCAAATTGACCGAAATAAATTCAGTCTTTCACTGGTTGAGACCGAATTTTTTGGTTTCGGTCTTATTTGCCCACCGCTAGTGGTGGTACCTCAGCTGCCGCTGGCTTGAGGTGAGGGAAAAGGGAGGGGGAGGAGGCCAACACAAAGGGGGGGGGAGCAGGAGGCAAGAGAATGCGTGGTGCCATCGAGCGCTCGTGCTGTGACGGCAGGGAGGGAGGAGGAAAGATAAGAGGACGGGGGGGGGGGGGGGTAGGAACTCAGGATTAGGGGAGTCTGTACTAATCTTGTAGCAATCCAATGTACCAAAATTTGTAAGATTTGGAAAGTGCCGTCTTCCCTTTTTTTTTTTTTTGATCTTCAGGGGTTGGATTGGCAGGCTGGGTGTGTGGGCAATGGAAGCATGGGGAAGCATGACCAGTAACGGTGGGTGTTTATATAGAGCTGGTTTTTGGGTTATCATTAAACAAAAATAGAGGATGTATGGCCATACTGTCCATTTTATCTCGTTGCTATGTCCATACTGTCCATTTTCTCTACTCCGTAATTTGTTTTGTGAAGGCATGCAGCAGACAAGCACCATGCGAACAGTGGCGGAGCAGGAAAAAATTATAGTGGGGCTTCTCAGCCTTTTGGGCCTTCTAACAATCTCCTCCCCTTTAATAGATATATAGATTTAAATTTTAGGGAGGTTTTAATGGGGGCTCTAATGAATCATTAGGGGTAGGGGTATAAAGACCCCCCAAGCCCCCACGCTGCCTTTGCCACTACATGCGAAGGTATAATTATTTTCCCAATATACGAAAATTTAACTAAATAGGCACAAGAATAGAAAAATGTGTTGAGTTTTTTCACATATTTTTTAGCATTGAGTTTCATTCGTTATATGATTTTCCCCGTATTGCTCAATATTAACCCAACTATGCACTTTGTAATCTCATCCCTACGCTCAATATTTATACACACCCATGGTCTATTGGCTCGGTCACAAAATAAATAAATGCATTTCTTATAGCAATAGCAATAACATGAATAGACTAGTAACTCTTGTGTAATGACCACTGTGCTCCTAAGGTTTGCTTCCCATTAGCTATGTGGATTATATTTAGGTCCTGTTTAACGCAGCTCTAGATTTCTCGAAGCTTTGATATTTCAAACTCGATGTATAATTACGTTGATAATATTTGAATAAATTATTTTTAATTATTGTATAAAAATATTAATAAAATTTTTAAACACCATAATTTAATATATAAACTTCAAAGCCACTATACATATAAGGGCATGTTTAGTAGAGTTTAAGATTCTAAGAAGCAGTTAGCTGGTAGCCAGCTTCTAAAAATCTTTCACTTATGGCTTTCTTTCTAGTTCATTTTCAGCTATACCTTTTAAAGGAACTTCTGATTCTGAAAGAAAGTGCAGCTAACACAAACAGGCCCAAGCTTTTCCTAGGCAGCGCTATAATAAGATAAGCTCTACCTTACCACTATTTAATTTTTATATAAATAATATAGGTGCATTTATTCTAATTTTTTATTTATAGGATAAATTTTAAATAAATAATAGATGTGCCCTTATTTTGGGAGGTAATAAGGAACACCAAATTCTCTTTCCACATTCACGTTACCGGCAAAAATAAATTAATAAAAAAGGGAATTGCTAACCTTCAGTCGGGAGAAAATGCATGCCCAAATCTTGCAGATTTTTAGCCACTGGATGAGCTTCATGATTCGTGCTCTAGACCTTCTCCTCCAACTCCGGCACCCTCTTTTTCTCCAACGCCGGTGAAAGCACGACAGAGGACCCTACAGGTTAGGATCTCGGGAGTGGGATAGGGGTGGGAGGGGGATGGGGAAGAGGGGGGTTCACCGGCTTTAGAGGGATGCCCATGTGAGGCAACGAATCGGGCGGACGATGAGGCGTCGGTGGCAGTCGGTGGCAGTGCCAGAGCCACGGGGATGGAGAAGGGTGGTGGACCGGCTTTGATGGCAGGGGCATCTCGCCACCGATGGCTCGAGGAGGAAGGAGGCCGGCGGGGGGGGAGGGGGTCTCGCTGGCGCTGTTGATGCCCTCCGGGCAGCCGACGAGACGGGTGGTGGGGCGGTGGCGGCCGAGGATCAGGCAGTGGTGGCGAAATGCGTGATGGGAGCGGTGGCGGCGGAATGCGCGAGAGAGAGTGGAATTAGAGGGAGATAGTTAGGGTTAAGGGCTCCGCACGAATCTTAAAGCATATCCAACGGTTCAAAATTTGAAACATGGTTGGTGAGATTTTCTGCGAACAAATATAGACATTCCCTTAAAAAAAAACATATACATGACCCATTCCATTTCACTCTCGTCACCATGAGCAATCTTGGCCTTGTGTTCTTGATCCTGCAATTGCTGTCACACTAGCAAAACAGGAAACCCAATTCGATCCCTTCTATCTATCGATCCAATCCAACGCTGCAGAGACCCTCAAACTTCACCTCTACTCTCTCTCTCTCTCTCTCTCTCTCTCTCTCCCTCCTTCCGGCGGAGCTACGGCGAGCCTTCTCCCCCGCGCCGCCGCGCGGCCGGCGAGCAGGTTCGGAGGAGTCGCGGCTCCTCCTCCTCCTCGCCTTCCCTAGCCTTCTCCGGCCTCGCGCTCGCTCGCTCGAGCCGAATTTGGAGTCGGAGGTATCCATTCTCATCTCGTATCCTCCCTCCCTCATCCTTTGCGCGCGCCTTCACGTGCTGTGTGCTGGCGTCTGTAGGTAGATTGGGAAATACATTCGGGGTGGTTGGATCGAATCGATTCATTGCGCTCCAATTTTTAAGTAATTAATTCTTCCAGTTCGTCCCGATTTGCGGCTTCTTGTTGCCTGTGTGGCCGCAGTGTTGATGTGTGTTACTGGCAGTTTGTTTCCACGGAAATTTGAGCCCTCCCACGTTAGATCCGCACCTGCATAGATCTAGACACGAAATTTCTTCTCAAGTGAGGGGATGGGTGTAGTGTAGATCAACCACAGCTCCTCCTTTCAAGAGGAGTATAATGATGTGCTTGTTTATGGAATGTGCACTGTCGGTTTGGGTGCAAGTCTCAGAGGCGTAGGTCTACAGCCAGATGAAAGATTTGTTTTGTTTCTTATCTCTTCTCAATTTACCAGTTTAATTTGATTGCATTGCTAATTAGCTATCTCCGTTTTACTAATTATCGTATATCTCCTAGTTCATGAGTCGGCACCTTGTTGTTTTTGTTTTGTTATAAAGGTTGCTAGTGTTTATAGGAGATAAATTAATTAATGAGAAGTATCACAAAGGGCTTTTCAGCCACACTCTAGCATTAGCTGATCGGCCGATCAGAGCCGCCCGACAACATGCAGGGATGAGCCCTCCTCAGCTTGAGGGTTGTTTTCTCTGTTCCTACTAATGTTCCCTCTTCCCCCACAAGATATTTGGCCTGTTCTTGACAGACGCAGGCTTCCGTGTATCATGTTAGTCCAGCACTTCTAGTATAATTACTGTGCTATATGCCCTTCTATTAACAGTCTACAGTTTAATGTTGAAAATAGGGAAGAACATAATGAGAGGATGCTCAATAAAAATTACTGAAATGTAGAGTATTCCACATAATTATCCTGAAACCTAGTTAGTGCAAATATGATTCCACACTTCTTGCCTTAAGATAGGTCTATGACTCTGGTAGATTATTTGTCTATTGCATGACCATTTGTTATGCCAAACAAATTACAGGGTATTCAGGAAAGGCATTATACTGTTTTTGTTGAGCATTCTCTTGTTTTGAGGTTCTCCATTATGAGCATTAATGCTTAGATTGCAACAGAACAAAAAAAGAGCATTAATGTGAATCTTTTACCTGTGCTCAAATTCATTAGTTATTGCATGCCTTTGAATTTCAGAAGGTCCGAAATTTCAGATCCAGAAAAAATCAAACAGTACTATTACAGTATTTGAGAAATTAAGAACCGCAGAACATGAAATTATAGTAACACAATTGCAAAATCCACAAGTTGGAATGTGACGTTGCAAAAGGCGTTAGATTAACAAAATATCATTCTGTTAGTTGTTACATTCACTTGATGGTTGGTCCCACCTGATAGCCACCTCTCTCTTTCCTCTTCTCCAAATCTGAATCTCTCTCTCTCTCTCTCTCCCTCGCCCATTCATTACTGAAAACAGTGAACTTGTAATGTAAATTTCTCAGCACTAACAGAGCCACAGAGAACACATGAACTAAACGGTGGTGTTATTTTCATAATTTTGATCTGATCTTTATAGGATGATAGTTGATAAAGATCTTCTTTTGTGGCAATATTTCCCTAATTTCATGTCCCTGCTATGGTAGAAAAATAGTTTTCTCAATATATTTTAGGGTTAGTGACTAGTGACTCGTATTGATTTCACTTGTTTTTTCTATGTGCATTTATATATGCTTATATTATTAAACTCATGTCTTAATTAAAATATGTTTCTAATGTAGATTGTGATACTCCAAAATCCAAATTGGATTAGATTCTACATGACAAGAGAACATGGCACCTGGAAGCAAGGCAGAGAGAAAAGCAGCATTAGATGCTGGAGCTTGGATGTTCAACATTGTGACATCTGTTGGTATCATCATGGTCAACAAGGCCTTAATGGCTACACATGGTTTTAGTTTTGGTACGATAAATTGATAATGCTTTATTATTTACTCATATGTGTGATCACTTGGAAAGATGAATCTGTAACAAACTCAGCTACTGAACACATGCTTGTACTAATATGGGGGTGCTATTGCTTGTACAGCTACAACATTGACTGGACTGCATTTTGCAACCACGACTTTGATGACATTAGTAATGAAATGGCTGGGATATATTCAACCGTCCTACTTACCAGTGCCAGAACTAATAAAATTTGTCTTTTTTGCAAACCTATCAATTGTTGGGATGAATGTTAGTTTGATGTGGAACTCTGTTGGATTCTACCAGGTGAAGAAAGTAACTAAGTCCTTTAATGTTCACTTTTAGAATTGGATGCATATACTAATTTGCTCCTCATGCCTTTTTCAGATTGCCAAGTTATGCATCATTCCAGTTTTGTGCTTTCTGGAAATCCTGTTTGATAAAGTCCGATACTCAAGAGATACAAAGTTCAGTATAATGGTTGTTCTAGTAGGTGTTGCCGTGTGTACTGTGACTGATGTTAGTGTGAATTCACAAGGGCTCATAGCTGCCATAATAGCGGTTTGGAGCACTGCACTACAACAGCATGTGAGTATTGCCACTCCTAGATTGTGCCTTTGTTGTCCCCATTCCTACATACTGAGAATTCTCCTGTATTAACTAAGTCTCTACTTTGATACTTTTGCTCCCAAGTTGGTAATATTCAAACCTGAAAAAAAATAGTATGTGGTGTTCCCTTCTACAGAATTTCCAAGCCATTAATGTGAACTCATGTGTATTTTGCCTCATCCTATAAACCTGAATTTTGTCCCCTTTGTTGTAGGTTTGGTGAGCTAAAGAATGTATTAGCTTCCATCTAACTACTGTTCTGATTAATCGTGTAGAAAAGAAATGTTTAGTTAGTAAAAGATCTTCAAATATTTGGATATTGCTCGTTTGTCTGCTAATAGAAGTCTTGTCCCTTTTCTACGCACTTTCATGGCAAATTTTCTTAACACTATTACTTGTTTTGTTTCTTTGCTTCTGTGCTGCAGTATGTTCATCACCTTCAAAGGAAGTACTCGCTTGGCTCATTCAACCTCTTGGGTCATACTGCTCCAGCTCAGGCAGCATCTTTACTAGTACTGGGGCCTTTCGTGGACTTCTGGCTGACCAACAAAAGAGTTGATACTTTCAATTACACAGCAATAGTTACGGTATGCGGTGATTCTCTGTTTATCTTGTTATAAACTGATCATTAGAAACCCATATAGCTCTACTGATAATTTCACCAGGTAAATATTAATTACCATGAAATATGGTAGTATATCCTGGAACTTGAAACATTTTTCTGCTTGGGTTCCCATCGGTCGGTCTAGTCTTAGGTGGTGTTCTTTTGTCCTAAAAATGAAGATGAAGATGAAGATTAAGTTTTTTACGCAAAACGAGGTGTCATTAACGTATGATTGATTGAGTTTTAATTATTATAAACTTGAAAAATATATTAATATGATATTTTAGAGCAACTTTCATATAAAAAGTTTTCGCACGAAACACACCGTTTAGCAGTTTGAAAAGCGTGCCACGAAAATCTTAATCTTCATCCAACTCTTGTTGGAGAAAAGACAACAAGAAAAGAATAGGGCCTTATTATAAGCCATAACGGCTTATTAGCGATTAAAAAATGATATGTGAGTAAAACTTTTGTATATATGTTCTTAGTGATTGAAAAGCCAAAGTTGAAAAAAAAACTACGTTAAAAAAGAATCAAAGTCAAATTCAAAATCAAGTTTTAAAATTCAAATTTTGGCTTTGGCTTATAAGCCATAGGGCAAACGATGAGGCCCTTGGTTTGGTTCAAGAATTTCAAGTAGGCTTGAAAGCAATGAGGACTATGATAAATAATGTTTGGTATAAGGTTACCGCTACCTTTAACATGTTCTTTTAAGAAATGTGTTTTCTGAAGTACTTGTTGCATTGTTCTGTACTGGCAATGTCTCTTTCTATCTCCTTTGTGCATGCTTATTGTGTCAAAATTCTTGTAAATATGTCATATTCAAAAGGTGTAATCATGCATAAACACAGAATTGCACATGGATAGCTTTTACATACCCAATATCACACATCAACCAATTATAAATTTATGAAACAACCATGTAAATTCCTCTGACTAAAAAGATGTGTCATTGAAATACGGAAGCTGTGTCTAATAGTAGAGAAGTGTATGAACTAAAAAACGCCTTACTGGTAATGCTTTATTGCTTTATAAGGTTAGGCCATTAAAAATATTGTATGTGCATACTATAGATGCTTCTTAGACAAGCATTTCTTTCAACTATGAATAAAATAGAAAGGAGCATGTGACAGATTTGGAGGATATATTTTTTATAATCTGTTGTTGCCATGACCATTACTATTTTTATCGTGGCAGGGCCTAACATTTTCTTTTTTTCATCTACCTGCATTGTAGTTCTTCATCATACTGTCGTGCATAATTGCTGTTGGGACCAACCTTAGCCAATTCATATGCATCGGAAGATTTACAGCAGTCTCGTTCCAAGTTCTAGGCCACATGAAGACGGTTCTTGTGTTGACCTTGGGCTTTCTTTTCTTTGGAAAAGAGGGCCTTAACTTCCATGTTGCGATTGGCATGATCCTTGCTGTTATTGGCATGATTTGGTATGGGAATGCTTCATCGAAACCAGGAGGCAAAGAGCGCCAGGTTTACTCAGCACCCAGCGAGAAAACACAGAAACACAATATACTGTCATCACAGTCTGAGCTTGACCAGAAGGTCTGAAATACAATGTTGATGACTAGTGTTTTATTGAACATCTTGAGGACCATGATCTGATTTATTCTTTTTACACGTTTTTTAGATGCTTCTATAGAATTTGTAGGCTATAGCAGAAAGAGGGTACCTGGGCAAACTGTCCTGGCTATACTTTTGCGGCGTATATGTCAACAAAAAGTAACTAGATGTTAATTTGAATTTTAATATTTCTTTAACTGCAAGAGCAGTGCTGTGTAACTTGTGTTCCTAAAGTTTTTATGTGCACCACCTGCATGGGGTAAAAGTACAAATGACTCTCCCCCTTGTGTTGTCTTGGTTGTTTTGACAATAAATTGTGTCATTCATTCAGTCGACAAGTTAGCAGCATTTGTATTTGGGGCACTATCTGTAAACAGTACTGAATCCTCATGAAGAGCTTTGATACAAAGGATTGGTTCCTCTTAGGCAAGCAAATGGTTTTCCCCTCGTTAGGAGGTCGAAAATTATTTTACTAACTGTAAACCAATATCTTTTGTGGCTGCTATTCTCTATCTGCTTCTCCCTTCAGACTGCACACAACATGAGCAGATTGTCACACTGAGTACAGTCCATCTGCCAAGTATATATCAACATCGTCTCTTTATTAATCTAGTAAGAGCTGACATAATTGACTTGATCCTCTATGTCCAGACCCTTCTGTCGATACAAAGACAAGCCATCTGCACATCAGCAGCACATCATCACCTTACCCCATTCAACTGGAGTGCATTTCTTGCAGCATTCAACGTCACTCTAATTGATACTAAATAGGTGTGATTTTTTTTTATAAGAATTAGCTTCTCCTCCCACACTACAGCGATGGGCGGCCAAGTCCAATTCGCAAGCACGCACGAGCTCTCCCTCGGCGCCAATGGTTTGAGTCAGACCATCGTAGAAGACCACGTGTACTCTATATACATCGTGTATCGTACTTACTCCATTCTAAAATATATATAACTATCTGGTAGCTAATATATACTCCATAATATAACTATATGGTAGCTATATTATTTTAAGACGAATAGAATAGTTTGTATCTCAGTACTGACGGTTTCTTTGCTAAACTCACTTGATAACTACTTGAGAGAGGTTTGTAAAATAAAAAAGAAAAGTAGAAAACTGATTGAAAATTTCTAGTAAATACGAGAACCATTTTGATTAGAGAATACATATCAAACTATAGAGTGGAGTTCTCAAAAAAAAAACTATAGAGTGGAAAATTTTCATTTAGAAACCATAAAACTTTGTACCCCACCCACAGCTTTACGTAGGAAATGTAACATTTTGAATGTGATATTCAAATTTGGATAGTTTTCATAGGATGCAACTTTGAACTTAGATGAGATGAATTGAGCTTCAACGAAAATAGTAACGGTGAAATATGTGCATATGGAAAAAAAGCGAAGGCACTAGAGGAAAAAACAGAATCTCGTATAGGCCCTCCCACCACCTGATATCTAGTTTTTTTTTTATTTTAAAAACAAGTCTCGCCTTTCAAAGAAATTAATTATAACGTGAAGAAGAAAATTTTCACTTATAACCATGTTCCTTTTTATAAAGATATAAAATTTCACCTTGGTTTTCATTAGCACACATTTTAAAATATTAAATGGTGTATTTCGTACGAAAACTTTTTATATAAAATATCAGATAATTTAATTTTCAAATTATGTAATAATTTAAACTCAATTAATTATTATATATTATGCTAATGGTTTTCTTGTTTTCTAGTATATTCTAACTTTGATCTTCACCATGTTACTACTACTTCCTCTGTTTCACAACGTAATGATGTTAATGAATGTATATAGCATCAATATGAATATGGAAAATATTAGAATAGAATGACTTACATTGTGAAACGGAGGGAGGGAGTACAATACTAGTTTCTTTCTCCAACCTACTACCATTTATTATTGACGTGGCGGCGAAACCGTGTATCTCGTTGATGGTATTCATGCACATCCTTATCCTCTCTACAGTCTACACCCTTGTAATAGCACCACCCTCTCCTCCATCGCACCAACCAAGCACACAGTCGCTCGCTAGCGAAGCACGCGATCTCGCAATTCGCAAGCAAACCAACCAAACCAAGAAAACCGAGGAAGAAGGAGGCGAAAGCCATTAGCCATCCATGGAGGCCAACAAGAGCAGCAAGCCGGAGAGATCATCATCTCAGCCCACCCACGACGCCGTCGTCCCGGCGTCGGCGAGCGGCGGCGCTGCGGCCTCCTGCGAGGCGGGCAGGACGCCATCGTCCGGTGGCTTGCCGTTGTCCACCGCCGCGTCGAGCGAGAAGAGGCCGGGCTCCGGCGGCGGCGGCGAGCTGCCAGGGTGGAAGCTGGACTGCCTCTGCAGGGAGTCCGGCATGTCGGCGGCGGTCATCAGCGGGGGATTCCCCTGCTTCTGATCGAGTACAACTAGGCTAGGCTCCTGTATTTGGACGCAAGAATTTTTGTTTGGATCGCGTCGGAATTCAAACTATTCTCGGTGAAATCTCTCTGAAATTCTCGCGTTTCAAACAGGGCTTTGCAAAGCATACTTTACTACGTACTTGTCTTGTCTAGTTTGGTTGTGTTGCTGTGAGCTATGATCCATATATATGATATATGTTCATCATGTTCATTTGTTTGTTTCTTTTCACTCTTAAGTATAAGGTTGTAAGAGATCATGCTGATCAAGTTCTACTGATCTTGTAATTCAGGTCTGCCAATTCTTCTTAGAAAAGCTTATGATTAATGATTTATTTTATGGACATAGACACACCAACCAAAAGCCTGTCTCAAATTAACCCAAATATCACGAATTATTACATGAGAAAACATTAGGAAAAACAAGAAATGGAAGGTACTACATCACTAATAGCAGTATGGATTTTGGAGGCAGGGTTATCGGGGTTAGTAGCTTCCAAATTATGAAAAACAAGAATTGGAAAGGTACTACATGTGGAATGGCAGTATGGCACATGTTTTGAAAGAGGTGTTCAGTTGAGTTCATAGTCAGCTTCATCATGTGCTAATTGATTTGATGCTAGTTTGTATGATTCAGATCCATATCTGCTACTAATAAAGATTGCAAGGTTCAGTTGTAATATCAGAAGTTTCAAGTACAACCCAGTTTTGCATGCAAAGCTTCAAGAGATAAGTAACAAATTACAAACCAGTCTTCCTGGCTGACATAGACATTAGACAAGATCATAGTTATGGATAATGCAACCGCTGACGACTTTCTATACTCTCCGCCAGTGACAGACAGTGATGGAAAGGCAGGCTTTCCTTGACCCCTTCCTTGAGACCAAAAAAAGGACAGTGACATCTTAGATCTGTAACTGAACTTCACTGCTCATTGATCATAATACCCAAAATATCTTCAGATCATTCACAGGAACACAGCCCAAGCACTTAATTGGTTTGGTATAAAACCTTTTGCAATTCGATAGCAAAAAGTTCAGTATCAGGCAACGTGCAAGCATGTAAGATTTCCTTACTTGCCTCGTCTGTTGATTACATACCCAGGTAGGGGGCAATATACAGCTTACAAAACTCAGCCAAGATCTTGGAATAACTTCAGCTATGCCTACATTCCTAGACAGAAACTTTGAGCTGTACACAAACAAAATCGTTTACATGTAGGTATTGGCGAGCTGCTCAAAGGTATACACTACCATACAATGGAAGGGCAAAATTTAGAGGCATTGGGTTGGACCTCAACCATCGATCCTCATCCTTTTGATAAATTTGCTAGGATAAGGTACAATGACAAGTAGCATCTCATCCAAGTCAATTTGAACCAGAATGGCAAGAGCGATATTAGCTGTAGGGACGACGTCTCAAAATATGTTGGTTTTGGAGTAGATGGGCATCCAAGTGATCTGATGAGCTCTACGACTGGCAAGACCTTAAATTTCGTTGGTGTGTTCTTGGCAACATTATCAACCTTATGCTCATAGATCTTCCCATTCTTGTCAAACTTATACTCTGAGGTGCCTTCAAATCTGCCAGGGCCATCCGAGAGAACTCTAGGAATGCCATGGACAATCCAGCGGATCATGATTACATCCTCGACAGGCTGCCATATGCTGATAATGTCGATCCATAGTGCTTTGAAGAAAATTTGCCCAGTAAACCGTAGAGCCCAGAATATCCTTTTGTAGTTATCAATACCCGTGAAATTATTGATAGGATCTTTGAAGACAATATCATCTCTGGAGGCAGTATCACAGCAGGTTAGGAACTAACAAGGATTGCATCTTCTTTCAGAAATGAATATACCATGATAGATAAAATTTGTTCTGGTACATAGCTAAATTCTGCTAAAAATCAACCTTGAGGTCTTGATATTTGTAAGTTTGCTTGAATACAACTAGCAAGAATTTGTTTTATGTTGCATAAGACTTCACAAAGAATTTTAATGCTGAGCTGATCTGGTATTCCACATACCCACTAGCATGCATGAGTGGCCACTCCTTGATTTCTTCATACATGAACGCCAATATGCAGTGTGCATGACATACAAGCAAGTTGTTCGATATCAAGTACTATCCTAATTCTATTACTGTGATGAGTAGATTTTCTAACCGATATGTGCTTATATATCAATATTTACACCTGTTTGCTCATTGACCTAAAAGGTTTATTTGTCATGGACCAGAGATAGCATCGCTAACCATGGATGAGCACAGGACATTGTTATCAAGCAGAATGGAGAACATCTTTCAAGTAGCTTGAACGATAAAAGCCAGAAGCTAACATAGAAGTACAAAACTAAAAATGTGGCTAACAAGATAAACAAAAGGAGATTTATTGAAGCAAAGGTGACTTCAAAAATAAAACAATCCTAGTCAAAGGAGTACAGATTATGGGAGTAGCCCTAGAATAGCCTTCCAAAGAAAGAAAACCATGGGCAGTCTTGAATGAGTTATTTATTCATTGCTTAACCACCAGTCAATCAGTTGTATTTCTGTATATGACCAACCTAACCAAACACTCCCTCCGTTTCCAAATACTTGACCTCCGTTTCCAAATACTTGACACTTGTTTTTGCTATGTAAACCATATGTTGTTCTTTTACCAATAGTACTAAAGTGCATTGCATCACAAATCCAACGGTGACTTCCATTCATCTAAACAGAATAAATATGAAATTAGTAGTAGTCACAATTTAATTCTCCCTCCGTTTCATATTATAAGTCGCTTCGACTTTTTTCCTAATCAAATTTCTTTAGGTTTGATTAAATTTGTAAAAAAAAAAGCAACATCTACAACACCAAATTAGTTTTAGTAAATGCAATATAGAATATATTTTGACAGTATGCTTGTTTTGTTTTAAAAATGTTGCTATATGTTTATATAAACTAAGTCAAACTAGAAAAAAAATTGACTAGAAAAAAGTCAAAACGACTTATAATATGAAACGGAGGGAGTAGTAAGTTAACGTGCGAAGTAAATGAAAACAGGCAGAGAGTTCTCATTTGTTGGCCATCTGTTGATGAGCTAGCAAGTTGTATGTAGCTGCTGCCCCATGGAATCCCATATTGTAACTTTCATGGTACCATAATGGGCTGCATCTGACAATCTGACATCATCAACCCTCATTTGGCTGCAGAAAACCTTGACACAACCAGTTTGTGTACAAATAACATGCTAATCTAAGAAGTTACCACATTATTTTGTTGATATAAGCAATGGCCTCCATACATTTCTTAATGAGTAAGTGTATCTTCTTCAGGCAAAAAAAAAAAGAGAGGAAATAATGCTATTGATGCCAAACATTTCGTTCTGTATTTTACAATTTGTAATGTCTCCTTACCTTATTGGTAATGTGCGTATGGATTCTGATACCCTCTAGAGGTATATCAAATGTAATTAGGAAAATTTGAATCCATTCAAAATAAGCTGAGGATTAATGCTAAACTTAACTTGAGCGTGGTTTATAACAAACAAAATGGGCCTTTTTTGTAGTCTGGAAATAATAACTTTGAATAAGAAATACAGGCGGCAAAGTTGGGGTAAAGGATATTGAAGTAATCGGGTGCTGGTTCCATACTTGGTGCTTCACAGACAGCATGTGTGGACTAAGAAAACCATAATATTTTGTGGCTAAGAATAAAATTGAAATTTTGCTTTGCTCAATTAGTAGTAGCAAGAAGAACACCTTGATACCAAAGTTTTATTGTGACATTTTGTGTTTTTGGCATCCACACCAATAATTCTCTCATAGTTCCACAAGTCTATTATATACTAAAAGTCCATTAAACATACTACAAACGCTCTCATACCGCCATGTGGCATTCCTATAAACGCTCCTAAATCGCCACGTGGCGTTCTAATAGATTAGGAATATCGAGCCATCGATTTTCATTTAAATTGGTGGGTCCATTATTTTAGACCATTAGATTTAATTAGATTAAAAACAGAATTTAATCTCTCCCTCTCCTCTCTCTCTCTCGTGTACGTGAACCTCACACGTACGTACACAGGTACCGTAGGTACCGGACTCCTCATTTCTTTTCTCCTCATTCACCCTCTTTTTTTTATTTCCCTCATAATATATTTATATTACCTCCGGTCTTTACACTATTGACCTTTTTATATTTGATAGTATCTTTTATCATTCGTTTGACTAAAAGAAAATACGTAATTATCATTTATTTTGTTGTGATTTTACATTCATGACTTACTTTGGCTATAATTAATTTAGTGCACAATAGAATACGACATATGATATTTGATATGTAGTTTTTCAGCCGGTCAAATATATATCATTTTTTTCATTTTTTTAATATTTGTTTAAATGATACTAAAAAGTCACAATAAAATTCAAAATAACATATTTCTTTAACTATAAACTATAAATAATCCAATGACTTAAACCGATAAAAATTAGCTATTTATTAACTATGGTTTCTAACTAATATAGAGTGAAAACGGTGATAATTATGGTAAGTGGATAGACATTATAGGCATCATATGTACGATTATCTATCTCATTGTACTTAATTTATGTCCGGTGGCACTCCTGTAAAAGCTCCTACATCGCTACGTGGCACTTTCATTTAGACCGGTAGACCCAATATTTTAAACAATTAAATTTTTTCACCATTAAATCTTATCTTCAAGAAAAAAATCTGCACGTTCCCGTTTCAATAGGTATTATATGTTCCGAAAAGAAAACATAATGCGTTCACATGTATGTACGTACCCCATTCCACCCCCTCCCTCTGACTCTTCCCTTCTGTGTCTCTCCGAGTTCTTTCCTATTTTTTAAGCTAACAACCAAATACACAGTATATAAAAATAATCTCTTGGTACATATGTTTCTATATAGAAATTATTATGTCACTTGGATGAATATACCCTTCAGTGACGAAGTAAGAAAAAATTATCCGGATATCACTTTGATATATACCATTTCTTTTCAGTGGCGAACCCATAAAAAAATTATAAAAAAAATTAATTATTAATTGATATATTAATTAATATGACATGAATTATCTATTATTATATACTAAAAGTCCATTAGATATCTTACAAATGCTCTTAAGCTGTATACATGGCTTCCTATAAACATTTCTAAGCTACCACACGACGCTCTAATAAATTAAAGTAAGTATAAGAAATTCTAAGGAAAAAAAATTATTTTACCCAAACCGATGGATCTTATTTTAAACCGTTATAAACTGTTAGATCTATATCTTAAAAAAACCCTACCAAACGATCAGTTCGTCAGAGTGCGTATGTACAACACATGTATACAGTTCCCTCCTCATGGACGAGACGAATCCAACGCCTCTTTGTTTTCCTTACAACAATTGTTAACCAAAAGATCCTAAAAATTACCCCCCAAAAAATCCACCTTAATGTTTTAATAAAATTTGTGTACTAATTACTTTATACCATTAGATATCTAACGACTTTCTACCAACTTAATTATATTTCTCAACTTGCATACGAAGTCTATTTACCTATACAAATATGTAAAGCTAAATCAATCTCAAAGGTACAAATAAATATGTCTATGAATGAAGCTCTTTTTTATTACTATATATCTCCATCCTATAATGGATTCTAAAATTTTATAGGAATTAAGGAGGAATGAAAAAAAAAACTAAGATATCCATCATTAAATAAGGGGTATTTAAAGAGTTAGAAGATGGTTAGAGTAATGTTGGATAACAATTAAATGAAAAATGGTTGGATGAAATGAGTAGTATTAAAAATCTCTTATATTTTAGGATAAAATTTGAATCCTTCGATTTATGGATGTAGGTAGTAGAAGTAAATATAAGTACGTGAGTATGTCTTTAATTAGATAAAGAAGTCATATTATCATATTTTTAATAGAAAATTTCTTAAATTATTGTCCTAAAATCTACAAAGACATGTTTAGTATACAAGGAAAAAATATTACTTAAAAGTTTAAATTAAAAAAACACAGTAGTATAAAATGATAGTTTCATATGAACCAACTCTATTGTTGAGACATTTTTCTTATAAATTTAAGTGATTTAATTTGTTTACAATTTGTAACAACCCGTCCTTCAAAACAAGGCAGCTCAGCATGCATCCAACTGGCACGCTCACTTACGCTATCACATCACTTACACTTTCATTCTTATGGACACAAGTGCACACAATGCTTATGGACAACACAGATCATATCCTTTAAATAAAAAAAACATAGACCACATCCTAATTGCACTAGGATGTCACATAAACCCCCTTAAAGGACCCGACGTCCATGTTGGTCCACCTTACCTCCATAGTCACATAAGCATATAGACAAATGTCCAGGAGCATGTACCTTCTTAACGCGTGTCCGTACATCCAGTGATTGAAACCGACTTTCAAAACAATCCAAAAAAATATTGATAAACATAGATTTAGAAGAGTAAAAAATATTTTTTAAAAACAATCCTATATATAAACATTCGTTACAAAATTTCAAATATCACTAAATAAGGTGCCCGCGCATCTGCGCGGGCTACCTTCCTAGTTTAAATTAATAATTAAAAATAATGAGGCCAGTACTTTTACCAACAAGATAATGAGTGATTGACTTTTTATAACTCATAGCCTTTCTAACCACACCACTAAACCACTGAGAAAGACTCTATCGCACTTGACTATGTTATCTAAGTCCTGATAACAATCCTTTAGCTATGGCCACGACACGACTAAAACATCAAAAATTTTGCAAATCATCTCTCCAATTCGGCCTAAGAACACCTCATAAAGTATACTAGAAATCACCATTTTTCTCTCCCCAATTTTTGACTTAAGAGAGCACATTAGAGTGCCACTCGTGCGCTGAGAAAAGGGTCAAATCTACGCCACAGTTTCACCGTCAACGCAAATCAACAATCATCATCATCCCCCGACAAGGGAAAGCATGGGAATCTAGGTCGACGACTCACGATTCACGAACCTGTAGATATGGAAGCTGGGCTCCCGGTAGAACGCGGCGGGGAGCTCCTCCCGCAGCGCCCGGATGGCGTCCCCGACGTTGACGTGGTACCGCCGCCGCCGGTCCTCCCCGTCGTCCTCGTCCTCCCCCTTCCTCCGCCGCCGCCCCGCCGCCGGCGAGGGGGCGTCCGGGGACGAGAAGAGCGGCGGCGGGAGCCGCCTCTCCCGCACCGGGTCCGACACCCGAATCACTATTCTCTCCTTCCCCCTCGTCCCCTTCTCCTCCTCCTCCTCTTCCTCTTCCTCTTCCTCCTTGACGCCCCCGCCGGGCGCCGCGGCGGACACCGAGAACCGCGCGCCGCCGCGGGCCCTCCGGTGGCCGCCGCACGGCGATGGGCGGCGGGCGCCGGCGAGGTTGGGGAGGTGGACGAGGAGGCCCATTGCCGCCGTGAGGTGAGTTGTTGCTCAGCCTCTTTTCATTTCTCTGATTTTTTTTTTGGTCTGAATTTTTGATTTTGTCTTTTACTTATTCGATTCTGGACTTCTGGAGTAGAATGGATATCCTTCTCAGTTCCAGCCATGAAAAATGGCATTTTACCTGCGGATATCCGTTTCCACTGGGCCGCAGTCCTTACTATGGTCTTATGATTGAGACTTTGTCTTTTCTTAACTCTCATGTACTCCCTCAATTCCAAAATATAAGTCCCTCCATTCCAAAATATAAGACACAACCACCATTAATCCAAAGATTATCATCTTGTAGTTTGGATCATCCTAATAAATATAATGCATGTATCCAATAGGATTAGATAACATGAGAGTGGAGGATTTAAAAAAGTACTCCCTCCGTCCCATAATATAAAGGATTTTGAGTTTTTGCTTGCAACGTTTGACCACTCGTTTTATTCAAAAAATTTTGAAATTATTATTTATTTTATTTGTGACTTACTTTATTATTTACAGTATTTTAAGCACAACTTTTCATTTTTTATATTTGCAAAAAAAAATTGATAAGACGAGTGATCAAACGTTGCAAACAAAAACTCAAAATCCCTTATATTGTGGGACAGAGGGAGTAGTAATTTAATAGAGAAGATGTCATAGTAAATTGCATGCTTGCATGCATGCCTTATATTATGGAACATCTAATAAAAGCGGTTGTGTCTTATATTATGGAATGGAGGGAGTATTTTTTTTTTAAAAAAAGAGAGATTTAGAGTAAGAGTCGTCTCTTCAAACATTTTTGAGAAAAAAAATATGAGTGTATTCGGGATTGAACACGAGACTTAGTTGAAACTATATATCTCTTCTCACTGCACTGTCAAGTGCTCTTAACTTCAATTTCAAGCAAAGTTATTTGTCATCATGAACGTATATAAACTACGAGAACATATCCGGTGAAAACGAGTTAAGTGTTCGAAACTCATGAAAATAATATCTAAAAGTTTTGTAAATTCATGAAAAAATACTAGAGATAGGTGTAGATATGAAATACATTCTCACCAAATTTCAACTCTAAACTCTACTTCATTAGAGAAAAAAAAGAAACAAATTTTAGGTGAATAGTGTCATGTTATTATTCACTTAAAATTTGTCTTTTTGTTACTCCTAAACAAAGTTAAGTTTGAAGTTGAGATTTGGTGAGAATGTATTTCATATCTACACCTAGATCTAGTATTTTTTTTCATGAATTTATGAAACTTTTAAGTATGATTTTTACCGGTTTCCAATACTTAGCTCGTTTTCACCGGATGTCCCCGAATAACTACAACTAGTATTTAATATCTATCCAATAAATCACTAACTCATTTATCATTTTTACATTCTTTCATTCTTCATTCATCACTCAACACTTTTAGATTATTTGTGTGAAACCCAACGCTTAAAATTGTCTTCGGGGAGCGCTACAAATCGGACGTCCGATATTATGCAAAACATCGGATGTTGTTGCACAATATTGTTACGAAATGTTTCACATGTTACACTACTTGATGAACAAAATGTTTCAAATGTTTCATCAATCAGGAAAAAAATGTGTCATTTCATAAATGAAAATATTTCTGTTCTCAAACAGAAATATTTCGGCAAATAGAAACAATGAAACCCAATTGACTCGCGCCGTGAAACATTTTAGTGTAGCGTTTGAAACTTTAGGTTTCATGTAATGCCCCGAGTTTCAAAATAGTATATTTCGGGGAATATTAGCATAAACGCGCAAAAGTTTAATTTTTAAACCGTTGTTCGAATAGGCGATCAGGAACCGTGGATGCGTAGAGCTCGCCGAGTAGTGCAAAATAGACTATGAGTTTATAATAATCGGAGTCCGAACGAAGTACTGGTGATTAAATTAATTTGGGCCATTCGATCTTCATCAGGATATCTATTTAACCAACTGAAAAAAAAAGAAAAAAAGGAGAAAAGGGGAAGAGATCGATAACCCTGCAGCCGCTACAAACCCTAGCCGCCATCACCCCAATCGCTGCTGCGCCGTCGCCACAGGTTTAGCCATCGCCGTCCAGCGCCACTCCTGCTCGACTCCTTGGTGACGTTTCTGTTTCTGTTAACGTTCCCCGCTGCTGCTACTGATGCTGGTCTGTTGCTGTGCTTCTGGAACGAACAGAGAACAGGAGTTTCAGGAAGCGGGGAAAGCAGGAGGAGAAAAGAAGGAAAAAGGGAAGAGAGGCAAAAGTTGGGGATTTTCTGGGTTTTCACAAATTGATCTCAAATTCGATTTCTCCTCTGTAAGGGTAAGAGGTAACTCCTCTTAGTCCATAGAAATACAATTTTCACGTGGAAATCGATTAATTGCCGGTTGAGTGTTTTCTTAGTTGTTGATTATGGGCTAACAATAGTATTTTCAAATCTGGTATTAAACCATCGTGATTCAGGTTAGTTGTCCTAAATAAAGTTTGTAGTCATCGTCGATATCTTTCTAACGCCGCTGGTTTCACTCAATTCCGACAAACAGTTTGGGATAAACAACAAAAACAGTACTGCCGACCGGGTCCGGAAATCAGGACAGCAATTCGTTTTCCTTAATCTGGGATTTTCAGAGGCATAATCTGATTTTGTGCTCAACATGAAAGTGGTAGACAATTTTTTCTAGATGTCCGAAGTTGTATTATTTGCTAGGTTCCATTAGACGGTTTGTGAGTTACGCATAAAACAGTAATGGAAGAGCTATAGGCTATTTAATACAAATGGGCAAAAATTTATATGAACTGGGTTTCGATTTTAGCAAATATCCTTGTAACTATTATTAGTTAGATATAGTAGTTTATGCGTAGTTTTGCTCCACAGGTGTGGAGGGTTCCAATGTTGGAGGAGTTGAGTCGGATTATTGAAGGAGTTAAGGCAAGTATAAGATGGACTTGTGTGATGGATAAACTGTGTTACTTTGTTTGGTTTCATTTATCCAATTATTATTCAAAGTTTTCTATTATCAATTATGTGGTTTTGGTATTATGCTACGTATTCATATTTCACTTCATGTTCAAGTTCACAACGTTATTCATGTTTCATTCTTCTGGCGGAAGTTTTTGTTTACATTATTCAAGTACCATGCGTAGTCATGGGAATGCAATTTGGATCTTCATTCATGATCCTTGAGAAGAGCTGATCACACTTGCTCGGCTTATCGGTAATGCTAAGAGGATATTCACACCTGCCCGGGAGGGAACTACTACTTTTTGCCTCCTTCGTTTTAAATTAAAGGAAGACAAATGTTTCATATTGGTTTTCTTATTGCATTAAACCTGTGTATGTTTTACTAGTTCAATATTATACTTGCGGAGTATTTTTACTCACTCTTGTGTTTAATTTGGTTTTTAGGTACCTAATGATATTGATCGGCACGGGACGGGAGTAGCACCCTTGAACTACACATTATTATTGCACACTATTAAAATTTAGTTTTAGATTATGTTTCTACTTAGATAAGTTTTGCGTAGAACTTATGAAGGTCATTTAAAGTTCTGGTCCTTATTTTTACGTGGAATTTGTAGAGCTAGGATGGGTTGGATTGTGTGGTTTTTATCGTTATTGAGTTATTTTATAACTACCTGTCGTGGATGTCTGTATTTTTAGGTGACTCTGCTGAAATTTCTAATAATTTTGGGAGTTAGTGGTTTTTGAGTGTAGTTTGGTGTGACACTCTAGGTATGTGGCTACCTGGGGTGTTACATTTTATTTATTGAGACATCCACGGATTACACACACAAAGACAGAAATATGTGAAACACCACCATAATACCCACCTAGACATTTTGATCCAACAAAATGAAACACCAAAAAAATGTGGACTGAAGCATAAAAAAATCGTAAAAAAAAAGTACCCGATCCTCCTTCCTCCTCTCCCGTGAGTGGTTGGCCATTGCCGGGCTCAGCACCGGAGCTCTCTTCTGTGCTGCTAACGGCCCATGGTGAAAGCTGAGGCCAACCCTACCACCATCGAGGAAGTCAAGGCCAACCTTGTTGCCGTTGTACCGTGCTGCCGTTGAGAATTAAGACGACGCTGACCGCACCACCATCGAGGAAGGAGAGGTCGTAGAGGTCATCGCCGTCATGGTGCACTATCAGAGGAAGCCGAGGCCAACCTCACTGCCCCAAAAATGTTGAGGTTGAGTTCGTCGTGCCGTTGAGGCCAAGCTGGTCACGCTGAGCCACCACTGAGCTTAAGAGTCGCCGCTGCTCTAGATGAGATATGGTAGAGTCGTATAAATGACATAGAGATATGGGAAAGAGAGAGAAAGAGTGGGAAAAAGTGTGCTCAAGAGGATAAGGGGTGTCATCCAATATTTAGACTTGCATTGGACGGTCCATCTAAAGCGTCTCCGATTGTCTTCACTTTCCACAATCCCACCTCGTATGTAGCTGGCGTCCCCTGAACACGTCCTTTCCATCCCCATGTCATTCCCCATGAATCCCGCAAATCACACACCCTTTTCATCACTCAACACCCTCGTCCTTTACTTCACACAACGCATCCATCGGTTGTCCTCACCGTCACACCCATTCCCCTATCGCTGCCGTCGCATCTGGACCATCACACCACATTTTCGTCATCCTCTACCGCACTGTCGTGCCCGGCCGTCATCCTTTGCTGCATACCGGTATGTGCTACATCATGGGAGGCACTTGTTCACGACAAGCTGACCTCGATGACCATATGTTTCGATCTTATGTATATATCACCCTGCTACCGACTCTTGTTATTTTACACTAAGTTTAATAGTGGTGTGATGTAGTTCTTGAAAGAATACATTAACGAGCTGACCAAGAACTATCTTATTCTATGTTTTATCGCCAAAATATATATTAACCTAACCTCTTTTGGTTGTTTCCTTTTAATATCAGATGACACCGCGACATTACCACATACTCCATATATAGTACTAGTTTCATTTCATTACCCAAAATATAATGCAGTAAACAGTGCAAATGACGTTCTAAATTAGTAGACCAAAGACTGTGTACCCTCTGTTTATGTTCACTTGGCACTTTTATCTTGTGCACACATGTTTAAGCAATCATTTTCAACAAATAAATACTCCCTCCATATTTTAATGTACGATGTCGTTGACTTTTCAACTAACGTTTGACCTTTTATTTTATTTAAATTTTTTGTGCAAATATGAAAATATTTATGTCATGTTTAAAGAACATTTGATGACGAATCAAGTCACAATAAAATAAATGATAATTACTTAAATTTTTTGAATAAGACGAATGGTCAAACGTTGGACAAAAAGTCAACGGCGTCATATACTAAAATTCACTTCTCAACGAAAGTCATAAAGTATTTCTACAAAGGAATCTTTACGCTGAAGGATAAGGCAAGGTGGGGATTAGAAGAAGGTAGCAAGAGAGGGACAAGGTCGGTGGCAGCCTGCGATGTTAGCATGTGTTATCCAGTGGTTATAATAGTACCAGTTTACACTTGTTACTATATATATATACGATTGAATTTTGAATAACCTTTTAGTTTTGACCCAGAACTGGTGAATTTTAATAGTTATTTTTAAGTAAATTTTATAAAATCACAAGTATTATGATCCAACTTACATAAAACCACATGGTTCATGGCACATGCTACATAACCCATAATATAGTTTTATAAAACCACACATTAATTAATTTGACAAAGTATTCTTTGATCCACCATTATTTAGGAGTTTAAAATTATATATCAAATTTACAACTTCTTTGACTCGTCGCATACTAGCATTTTTATTTTGCTACAATAACAAGTTAAATTAGATAATGGTGTAGTTTTGTAATCCTTTTGAACTGTAATACCCAGGGTTATACATCATATACCAAAACCCATGTGATTTTGTGTAACTTGGACATAAAACTTATAGTATGGTAAAATTTACTCTATTTGTTAAAGCAACAACAAAAAGTGAGTAGTTTTAAAGGTAATATATTATATATTAGTAAAGTACATCTGATTAAAAATCTAAAAAAATTGATTGATTAAACATATTGTCAGTCAAACCTTAGACATCTTAATGTAAAATCTGACAACTATTTTTTACTGCAGTACAGTACTATGAATTGAAAAACAATGTTGTAGTCAACTATACAGTGTTATCACCAAAATAAGAAAATTGCTCCTACGAGGAAGAGATACATGTGCTTTGAAAAAGTTGTGAATCTCTAGGATCTAGTATATTATATAATCTATGAATTCCATCAAGGCAATTAATCAGAGTTGACTAGTGAGCTTTCAAATTCATTGTACACACACAAAAAAAAAAAAACTGGCACACCGACCAATTACAACGATTTTTTTAGAACAATTACAACTAACGAATTGGTTGGCCGCGAATATATGGCTGGAGGTTCATCGTCTCTTGCGAGTGATCATCTGAAATACGTAGTACCACTACCGTGCATACAGTCTCTGCTCTCTACTCGCCAGTGAAGTTAAGAAGAAAATCACCGTCACTCATAAAGAACAAACAAATTTTGGAGGTTACGAGAGTAGGATGAAAACGGAACGGATAGTTTCCGTCCGCTACGAAGAAAAACGAATACGGATACTTTTGGATCGGATAATTCTCGGTTAGTTTGGATGCAGATACGAATACGGATATTTTCTCCTGAATACGAATATGATATCGGGATTTCCGTCAGATACGGATAATAATTCAGATACATGTAGAAGCCATTAGACATACCATATTTCTTTATAACTCTATAACCTTTAATATACCTTTTTTAAAATTTAATAGTGATTCATCTCTTAACACTAGTCCACACTATTAATATTATTTAATTTTTAAAAAATATTTATAAATTATACTACAGTTTATATAATATGAGCTAATTATATATGTTGATATTTGTTTCTATTAGAAGTTGGGTTGCTTTTCATGTTCTGAGAAATATTTGTTTCCGTATTCGTATCCGATCATATTTCATTCTTATTCGTATTCGAGATAATCCGTATTTGTTTCCGTATTTGAGCTATCCGTATTCGTTTCCATATCCGGCAAAAAAAATGAAACCAAATATGATATGGGCATTATGCGTCCGTATCCGCTCTATTTTCATGCCTATACGATAGGCATATTTATCATATATTTAACAGATAAAAATTACTGGCATTTCTTAACATGCCTTTTCAGACTTTTTTTTTTACCATGTTTTGCGAAAGCGCACGATTCTAAGACAACCGATGGAAACTGTAAAATGTCGACTTTAATGTTAAGTTTACTCAATAAAATACCATGTTTTGCAACAGCGAAAGTCACACTGGAGACTTTAATGTTGACTTTATATCAATTACCTTTGTTTTGCCAATGTGCAAGTCACACGGTAGATTTCCACACATGTGACTTGTGCAAGGATTGAACAACCTTTGCTCAATCAAATACCATGTTTTGCGAATGAGAAACGCATTTTTCTAAAACAACTTATTGAGACGTTAATAATGTAGACTTTACCTGTCTATATATGAACCAGACCAAACAGGGCGGACTAGAAATTACTTAATACTTAGGGCTCGGCTGGAGCTGAACTAATGAATTATGAATTTTCTCTAAAATTTTCAAGGTGATTTAAGACAATCGAAGTGTCCTAAACTATTTTAGCCTTGTCCCTGCCCTCGAGACCAAGTATATAATCATCTATTGGTTATATATTTGATTGATCCGGATGTAGTGCAAATAGTCTGCATTAAATTTCACAAGGTCAACCAAAGCAAATTTGCAATATGAAAAACACAGTACAAAATGATTTCCACTGATCATTTCATTTTTAACCAACCGTAGATTTCCACACATGTGTGACTTGTGCGAGGATTGAACAACCTCTGCTCAATGCATACACTGCTTTATCATTGAGTTCACCAATCCGCATCTTCAACATTTCTGCCTCCTCCCCTTTCATCACTCGTTTTATCGTATTTGCAATCTCTTCATTCATTATAAACCTTTCATTTCCGACATTAATCCGGATGGCTACCTTTGCTTGAACCTCCATCATTGCTGCATTCATCTTTTGCTCCGCATAGAGTGGCCATGCGATCATCGGGACTCCATTGGAAACACTCTCTAGCGTAGAGTTCCATCCGCAGTGCGTCAAGAAACACCCAATTGATGCATGCCCGAGTATCGATGTCTGCGGGGCCCACGACGGCACCAGAAGCCCCACCCCTCTAGTCCTCTCAATGAATCCCTCGGGCAAAAAATCCATTCCTTCTTCTTCACCTCTACTATTAGCTGTTCCAAAGAATGCTCCACTCGATGTATCTTGGTCGGGCCTCTTGATAGCCCAAATGAACCTGTGCTGACTAAGCTCCAATCCGAGCGCCAGCTCAGCTGTCTGCTGCCACGTAAGCGTGCCACCGCTCCCAAACGACACGTAGACCACGGATCCACGTGGCTGCTGGTTCAGCCAGCTCAGGCACTCATGGTCCCGTTCCATGGCGACCGGTCTGGTCCAGATCAGCGGTCCGACCGCGTGAACCGGCGGCAGCTTGACGCCGTCCGCGCCGTCGCCGATGGCCGGCTCGAGCTCGCGGAACGTGTTCACGAGGACGCCATCGGCCCTCGCGGCGTCCCTGGCCATGGCCAGGAGCCCGGCGTACGTTGCGCTGCTCCGGTCGGCGAGCATCGAGCTGGGCAGATCGTGCGCGTGGATCGGCACGCAGCCGGGCAGGCGGATCGGCTCCGTCGCGTCGCGGTGCTCGCCGCCGGCGCGCGCCGCGTCGGCGTCGAGCGACGGGAGGTGCAGGAAGAGCGACAGCAGCATCCACGGCGAGGTGAAGAACATGTAGAACGGCACCCCGAGCTCCTCGGCGACGGCGCGCGCCGGGGCGCCGATCATGTCCACCACGAGCGCGGCGAGGGGCGCCGTCGCGGCGAGCGACCGGGCGACGTCGCGGACGCGCGGGACGCTGCGGGCGACCGCATGCGCGGCGCGCTCGCGCACCGAGGCGTCACCCGGGAGCGCGTCCGCGGGCGCCGGCGCTGGCAGCGCGACGAGGTCGACGCCCTCGGCCAGGACGGACGCCGCCACGGCGAGGTACTGCTCCGAGGGGGGAGACCTCGCGGAGGCGAAGAGCAGCGTGGCGGCGAGGCCGTGGTCGGCGACGAGGCGGCGCGCGAGCTCGGCGAACGGGATGAGGTGGCCCAAGCACGGGCTGCACAGCAGCAGCACGCGAGGCTGATGAGGCCGCCGCGCACGCGCGCTCGCCGTCGCCGGAGCTCCACCACGGCCACCTCCCATGCCCGCCGACGTAGGACCGAACGACGGCGACGACGACGTCGCCGTCTCGCCGAGGAGAGCTGTGTCGCGCGCGCGAGCTAGCTCGGCTGGATGTGCGCAGTGGAGTGTACTCGATGGATTGCATGTGTGTGGATGTCGTGGGGCATTTGAAGTTGTGGCGAGGCTAGTATGTCCAGGCGACGTTGCGTCATTGCTGTAGTCAGTTGTCACCGAGAGAAGGAAAAGAGGTACGTAGTGACGGAAAAGTTAAAATTTCTTTAAAAAAAAGTTTGAATCTGAATAGAGCCTACGTGTCGAGACTTGTTCGTTTGTAATGAGTGCATGGGCACGTTTAGCCAAAAGGTGGAATAGCGAGTCCAGGTTGGGAGTGGATTGATTGGCTATCGTAACCGCTTTAGCACTTTCTTGAAAACGATACTCCTTCCGTCAAACACAAAATAAACCTGGGAATAAATATAACATATCTTAATACAACGACTTTATATAAAAAGTATTAGAATATGTCACATCTAATCTTAAATTATCTTTTTTACGACGGAGGGAGTATGTCACAATAACGCTGCTACAACACTACTTCCTCCATCTAAAAAACAACATACTTTAAATGAAATATTCTAATACAATAAATTTAAATAAGAAACGTTCCATTGAATACTAGATTGGTTTTCTGCAGGATAGAGAGAGCAGTGCCTAAAGCTGGAGCGAAGCTATGCAGTCCCGAGGGGTTCCTAAGAACCCGGGTAGGAAAGTAAAATTAGTGATTAATTACCATGTGGGCACCCCTGGCTCATGTATGTGTACCCCTAGATGGAGAATTAAGCTACGAAGATGTAAAGCCCAACGCGTGCATTGCAGACCACCAAGCCGAACAGGTGCTACTAGGCTGGTATAATGGATTCACTCATATTGGTTAGTACTTTTAATCGTTGTACTCCTCTTTTGATACAATTGACATCACATATTGATTTATCTCTTTTAATAATTGATGGGAGGCGCAATTATTTAGTACAATATTACATGAAAATTCTATATGACTCCATTGGTATGGACACATGATTAAGTGAGGCAACCCCTCCGCCACTGCCTAAAGGCTAATGGATAAAAAAATGTGACACATTTCTAAAAGAAAATATGTCGACAGTTTTCTTACCTATCCATTGATGAATAATGAGAAAAATCTATAGCACTGGATCCCGTTCTCCACGGGATAATCCGAATCCCTCACTCCCCTCTGTCTCCATCTCCCCTCCACTCTCTCTCTTTTGGGAGAAGGCCAAGAAGGTGGAGATGAAGCCGGACGGTAGAAAGGGGTCGTCGTCTATGGCGGCCAAGGAGGATGACGATGGCACGGCCTCGGCGAGGTCACCCTCAAGATCGCCTCCCTTGCTGCACCGCTCTGGCTCCCCGCCCTCGTCGGTCTTCTCATCGGATGGGCATGGCGCCCACGCTAGGCTATCGCCATCGTCAGGGATAGGGAACAGCCGCCGCTGGTCACCCCTGCTCTGCCTCCACCGTGCGTCACCGAGGACTCCTGCCGCAAGAACCAAGTAGGAGCTAGTGGGTGCGTGGGTGCAGAGCTGTGGTGGCTACCGCTGCGCCAGAGGAGGATGAGGGAGCTACAATGAGCGCAGGTGGCTCCACCGCCACCACCACCACCGCAGAAGCAAAAGAAGCCGGCGATCCCGGCACCCCAGTCCCGGTATCTTCTCTACCAGGTATCAGTCCTGATACCCAGATACCAAAGTCTGTGATACCTAGGTACCAGTCGGTACCAGGTATCAGATACTCTGATACCCAAGGTACCAGGTGTCAGGGGAACGCATGTGGAAGCTCACTGGAAGACAGGGAATAAGTCACTTAAAATTTTCCATTCTAACGGGATCCCGTTCTGTAGTCTCTCTCCATCGGTAAGTGGTACAATATTCCATATTTGCATCCGGAGGGCTGCTACAAAACAGGATCCCGTTGCAACGGAATAGACATATTAACTATTGTCTTGTACGGGTATCACAGGTATCAGGTCCTAGGTATCAAAGGTACCGAGTAACAGGTATCACAGGTATCGGGTACCATGCAACTGTACCACAACAGGTATCATTTACTGTCTCATAAAAGAGTATCTTGTTTCAACGGGATACCATTGTCTAGGTTTTCTGTTACATCCGCGATACTATCCGAGCCACAGTCGGAACCATTTTCGCTCCCTTGTTTGGGCTGGGCGTATAAACGTAATCTATTTCAGACCGGGACACCACGGCCTACTTCGCAGCGTAATTGGACTCGGATTCCTTCATAATAATCGGCCTATCAAAAGCCCGTGGGCTCATCACTTTCCATAATTTGACTAATTTCTCTACGTGCCGCCGTCTTTGGATTAACATGCCGTTGTCATGCTTCTCGTCGGTGCTGGCCTCGCTCAGAGGCGGCGCTGCTGCGGCGGCGGAGGACGACGCCGGCGAGGAGGGGACGGCGGCGCTGCTGCGGCGGAGGCTGCTGGTGGGGGAGGTGGCGGCGAACCTGGAGGAGGAGGTGGGCGCCCTGGAGCGCGCGCTGGCCGTGGCCGTGGCGGAGCGGGCGGCGGTGGAGGCGCGGAGGCTGGACGCCGAGGCCCGCGCCGACGACGCCGAGGCGCGGGTGCTCGCGGCGGCGGAGGAGAAGGATGCGCGCGTCGAGGAGCTCGTGATCGCGGCGGCGGAGGCGGCGGCGAAGCGCAGGCAGATCCGCGTCCTCGAGTTGCAGATTCAGGCCGTCAACAATATGACCAGCAAGTTTCGCTGGTACTAAATTACTAATTTAGCCGACGGATTAAGCTGCTGCCAATCTGACTAAATACAGGTGGCTAAGCAGACAAGCCCAAAGCGATTATATGCCTGAGTTGAAGCACAAAATAATCTTTTGTTTTTCTATGGGATTACTATTTCGATCGAAATTTTCTCGCTACGTGATGTGCTCCTAAATCCGAATCGATGTATCAAACTTGTCCAAAAAATCAACTATGTGTGAGGAGTGCTAAATCTTTTTTGGTTGATTTTTGTTGTTATTATACCTTTTTTTTCCAAATTTGCTAGAAAACATTCATAAGTTTACTGTCCCTAAAACTTTCAGATTTGTGACCATCGGATCATCTCGAGATTTATGCATTAAGAGAAAATATTGCTAGAATGAAATTTTTAAACATGTCACGCGTAAAATCCCAATGCTATCTACACACAAGGTTGTTAGCATCGGGATTCTAGATAGTATCATTTTTCTTAAAGTAGTATCGGATTGTAGGATCGTATCGTAGTATCGGGATATCATGAAATTTTATATTTTAAGTTTAACTAGCAATAGTGTCCATGCGTTGCAACGGGTAAAACACCATTTGATAGTGTGACACCTTGAAAACCTCAAATCGGTAAAAATCTAAGTCTAATTTGATATATTAACAAATAGGTAGAACCGAGTCTAATTTGATGAATTAGCATAGAATTTATGATTTAGTCTTATATTTATTTTTCGAGCCTACTTAGGAGCTTATCCGACGGACTTTGATTTAAAAAATATGAGCCACATTGTTTGATCAAATTTGCTTTCGGCCCAGGTCTTCCTAGCCAACCCAAACTTGGGCTGGCCCATCTTCGGCGAGCTGAGTCAATTCGACAGCCCGCAAGCCGAGCAGCTGAGCGCGGCCCACATATGCGGGGATGGTTCGATGTACTTCGGCGGCCCATTGGGCGTAGCGTAATCAGCAGCGGTAGAGGCCCAACGCTGGGCAAATCTGAGCCGTTCGATCTAATGGACGGCTCCGATTGTCCCCATGATGGATGAAGTGCCGACCGGAAGAGAGGGGCAAAACCCTAGCTCCCAAATCTCTTCTCTCCGGTGACGAACGAGCGGAACGACGACGAAGGCGGCGATAGCAGTCCGGTGAGCTAGTGCGTGCGTGCGGTGTTGACCAACGAGCGGCTCCTGCTTCGCCTGCTGAGGGTGCACCCAAGGGCGGCGCAAAGCTGTGCCACGACATCGGTGGTCCGGCTAGGTGGGCGTGCAAACAACGATGAGCACCGAGCGGCCTGGACCTTTTAAGATAAGATAAGATTTTCAGGGACAACGAAAGTAAATTGAATCGGACTTTCTTTTTTGTTTTAATATTTTTTTTCGCCCTTTTTTCGTTATTACGAACGATGGAAACGTTTCAATTTTTAAGTAGCATAGATAGAGATAGAGAAGATATAGATATATAATACCGTGTTACGTATAATAGGATTCGAATTTTTTTACCGCGTCACATATAATTATTTTTTTTAATTGGACAGAATTCGTTTTTTTATTTTTTTTCACCTTTTTTTACTGCGTTCACGGAATCGGATTCGTTTTTTCCCTGTTTTTTCACCTGATTTTTTCGCTCAGTTTCTTTCCCGACTCTTTTTTTTAATCGGACAGATTGATTTTTTTTCGCCCGGTTTTTTTTCCATTCCTTTTTTTTAATCGGACAGATTGATTTTTTTTCGCCTTTCTTTACACGGAATCGTCGTTGTTTTTTTGCCCGGTTTTTTTTCACCTGATTTTTTTCGCTGGGTTTTTTTTGCCTAATTCTTTTTTTAATCGGACAGATTGGTTCTTTTATTTTTTTTTCGCCCTTTTCTTTACACAGAATAGGATTTTTTTCACCCTTTTTTTTCGTCCGTCTTTTTCCGCCCGATTTTGTTTTCGGATGATTTTTTTCGCCCGATTTATTTTGCACGGATGATGGGAGATTGTTAGAGTAGATAGATAGAAGTAGTGGAAACGGATGGGAGATTGTTTCCTATTTTTGTGGAATCGGACATATTCATTTTTTTTATGCTTGATTTTTCTTTTACTGCATCGATAGAATCGGATTCGATTTGTTTTTTTTACCGCGTCGCATTTTTTTAACCGTGCCACATATAATAGGATTTGATTTTTTTACCGCGTCACATGTAATTTCTTTTTCTTTGGAATCAGACATATTCTTTTTATATTTTTTTCACCTTTTTTTACCGCGTTGACAGAAATTTTTTTATTTTCTTATTTTCGCCTTTTTTTATCAGACAGGTTTGGTTTTTCTTTTTTTTCGCCCGGTTTTTTTCACCCATTTATTTGGATAGGACAGATTTGGTTTTTTTTGTCCGTTTTTTTCGCCTGGT